CTAGTTTTACAACGGGATCTCCTGATATGAGAGTTTCTCTTTAACACGTAAATTTCCAGGACTTTATGGAGCACCCAAAACAAGCTGCTCACTCGGTCGTACAAAATCCTACTTTACCTTTACTTTTTGTACAAAAGAGCAGTGCATTTTATCCTTGCTCTCTGGCATTTATAAAAAGGAGGAGGAATTGCATAACACTTCTGCTTTCAGTATCTGAGCAAGATTCCACCAGCAGGCCATATGTAACGCAATCTTTCAAAGTTGCAGTCACTCTGTCAGCTTGGTTTATAGCATCAGCCCACCTTCCCCACATGGTAAAAGCTGGCAAGAATCATTTTTGTAACAAAAGTCTTAAAAGCAAAAGTTTCTCCTTCCCACAGGAAGTCCTACAAACAGACACCACTGGCCCACCACCTGAAGCCAAAGCAACACCTGACAGCAGGCACCTGATCCACAAGTAGCATGGTAGGTGTTACAGCAAAATAAGTAACTATGTAGGAATCTACCCCAGACAACAAGTCCAACATTTTCCTATAAATCACCTCCAGCTGCATACTTGTCTCGGTAAACCTCTACTCATAACAGGGAGCTTATTCCACGGACTCCGGCACAGAGACCTCCCAGATCTACTGACGTTACAGTTTTCAGAACCCGCTCTGTTTCAGGTGAACTGATGTGAAATGGGTAGAGGGTTACCTTTGCTCAAAAATAACACACTCCACAGTTTTCATCTTTTCCCCGACTGCCAGAACTTGTTTCCACAGTTTGTCTTAAGGCAACTATTTTGCAAGAACAACTCCAAAATTGGACTGTTTCATTTTCTGTTGTTTGAATTTCTATGGTGTTGCTGTATGACGTTAAGGCCAGCGGCCCACAGAATTGCATCTCAAAACTTTTGGAAAGAATATTGTCTTCTTGGACAATATACAAACCGCATTATACTACTACATAAAACATCTTATGGACCGCAAAACTGAAAAAGTCCAAAAACTTCTGGGACTAGCAGGGAGCGTAACTACTTTTGGCTAAACTTACTCAAGACACAAATAAAAATGCCTACTGCTGACTTCTAAGAAATCTGCAGTTCCCTTTCCTCTAGCTATTTATTCTGATTTTAATATTAAAAGAAACCATAATTTATCTCATAAGCTCTGTTTTAAAAAAAGAAAGGGGGAAGAGAGGGAGAACTCACAAGTAAGTTTTCCTGCATCCTCCACCCCCAACTGATTACACAACTCTCGCCCGCCTTCTTGTTCCTGTTCTTGATGATGACAATGCAAAGCTAGTCAGCTGGCAGACAAGAAGATATGTCCGTCTTGGTCACAACTGAGTTCAAGTGCCACAGTGCACTCTGAAGCTGGCCCACAACTTCAAAACAGCCTAGGACAGCTTAACCAGATGATTAACCACCTCATAGCTCAAGCATCAGCAAGACTCAGGGTGTCCCTTGGATATTTTAACAACCAGTCTTGAACAAGAAATCAGAGCTAACTCTAGCAAGCACAGTAAGACTTTAGCTAACAAAACTGGTAATGAAGCGTTTTATTAAAAATGCAGAGGGGAAAAAATTTGTATCAGCTTTTTTGGAGCATTCTATACATGTTCATATGTACCAGAATTACAAAGGCATTGAGTTTTGCACTGCCTCTTCCTCTTTACCCACAGCGCAGACCTTCTCCAGGCTGACCAGTCCAGAAGTTGAGCTGACTGGAGAGCGAGAAACAATGACCTATGGGGTCTGGAGAAGACAGACAGGAGAAGCAGCACTGACAATGCAACTAGAACAAAGGAGCAGCTGATACCAATCATAAATCATGACCAGCAGCTACACTGGCACCCCAAAATAAGCGCTGCTTTGAAGTGTTATAGAAAATTATAGCAATAGATTGTTACTAAAAATAAAGCTAACTTGATATCAAGGCTAGTCATAGCACAAAATCTACTTTTCACGCTGGTAAACAGAGACCCCATTGTGTAATGCTGTGAGCAGAGACCATCTACTTCTCAAAATTTTTTTTTTTCAGAATCCTCTTTAAACGGGCTAAAGAATTCACATACAGTCAACACACTGAAGCACAAGTTTGCACAGTCAAACTTTCTTTTTCCTAAACAAAAGCCATGTGTGCATAAACAAAGCAAAGTGGAATCATGCCCACTGCTATCCATATGCAGTTTTCATTCTTGCAGACAAGTGCTCTCCCACTGCTTTTCCACAAAGTTCTGGCATATAACTGTGTTGGAACACAGCAAGGCCAAACACACATAAGTGAAAGCAGAAATGTCTCTTTAAAGATGACATTTTGAGACATTGTGAAACAGAGAAGCATGAAAAATTACTTAATGGATAATGTGTTACTGTCATCACTAGCAAACAGAAGTTCTTTGAGCACACCCTGAAACTAAGGGATTAGGTGGGAGGAAGACAAGGAGGAGAAGCATTGCACTGAGTCCTCTTGACTTTAAAAGATGGCTTACCATTGGAGACAGTCTTAAATGGATGAAGAGAAATTGTGAAAACAGGTAACTGGAAACAGGATTGTTATCCTTGATCTCAGCAGTACTTTGTTCATTGCCTACTGTCACAGTGCAATACACCAGCTGCAACTCTATTGACACATAAAACATGCCAAGGAGATTAGGAAGTAAATACTCTATTTGGAGGGGAGACGAAAGGTAAAACTTCACCCACTGCAAAACCAGATGTTACAAAAAAAAAAAAAAAACACCCTCTAAGATAACAAAGTCCAGTTCTAGGAACATGTGGAATCTGCCAATTCACAAATAGCAAGTGAGGGAATTGCCCCCACAGCTGAGGTGAACAAAGTGTAGTAGAGCCATAGGGGAAAGGTTTGTTATGAGTGACAGAGATACAAGAAGACCAGCACTACTCAAGAGTGAAAGTACAGAGGAAATATGGCATAAAAGGCAGGAACTGTCTGTTCCTGTTGCCTATGCATCTGAAATACATAACATCGCACTCTGTGAGCCTCAGATTCAAGAACATATGAAATTCAGGGAAAATCTGGAAGTAACAACAGAAACGAATTACAGAAATGTCTTTTTTTAAAAAAAAAAAAAAAAAAACTTCAAACACACCAACCATGAGCCATCCTAAAAAATAATTAAGGCCTGAAAAGCAACTCTATTAGAACTTGAAAATGGTAGATCTTAAAAACTTTACATACTTATTTTTGGATCAGGGTGGAGGGGAAGTCAGGAGGGATGAATCTGGCACAAATCATACACTTAATAACCAGGGGTAATGAAGAGAAACTAAAAACAATTGAAAACAGCAGCTATATGTCAGTAAAGTTTTCAGAAGAGAGACTTGGATTAAGGTCTGGACTAGTTTGCTAAAGGGAAGGAGGAGTAATCTTATCAACCGGTACTTCGAAAGTCAGATTAGGGGAAAATTAAACACAAAACAAAGTTACTTGTAGGAACAGTTCTGTTCCAGCACAAGAATGGATCAAATTATTTAATAAATTTAAAACAAAACAAACAAAAACCTTCTAATTCCCTCCAATGAATATTACGTACACAATTAAAATAATTCTGCTGTTTATGTCAAACTATCTAGAGCGCTGTGTCCCAGATAATACATCAGCCATAGGTGATATTAAACAACTAACATGAAAATTGAATTGCCAAGCTGCTTTATGGGTGTAAACATTTTAAACATGCTCACAGAAACCAGAGGCTCTTGCTCCGATATCTTCCTTTAATCATCCATATGCCCAAGGATAATATCCACCCTCAACGCTGCTTTCATGACTTACTGGTGTTTATAATGAACTACCAGGGATGCCTAACCTTTAGAACTAGAGAAGCAAAATATTCTCTCTCAGGGAACACTGAATTATCACTATGCAAGTCTTCTTCTCTGTCTTTTAGTTCAATAGAACTAGAGACAGACGATTCATTGTAAGTAGAGACAAAGGTTTCTGCAGGCTCATGCCTGCAACAACTCCGTATAAAAGTGGCTGTACCACAAGCCAGCAGCATGCCCTACTCTCCCCCTGTAGCCAGACACACCTATGCACATGCTGCATGAAGCCATTCCATGCTATCGCTGAGCTCCAAGATGACCAGAGCCTACACAGAGCTAGTATGTGTCAGGGAGTGATACTATTACGTGGCTTGAATACTCACAGTAAAAAAATTACATAATCTTATCAATATAACTGCATTCTCTCTCTTTTGAAGTGCTGACAAATCTTTTAACATTGACATAAATTATAACTTTTCATTACTCGTAGTATTTATTCTTTTGCACATCTCTTAACTAGATATACTTAAAATCAATTCAAATTAAAGATCTTTCAGTTCTTCCACAGTCCAAGTCTCATTTAACAGATGCACTCGCCTGGGTTACCTCGAAACTGCCAGCATCTCCATTCAGGTGCAAATCATTTGTATATTTCAACTACCCCCAGTGAAACAAGAAATTAGACAATTTCTATTTCTCAAACTGTCAACTCGGGCTTTTCACTTTTCTTCCCCCTGCCAGTTCCTCTACTTCCCTTCTGCTCTCTGCTTTCTCCGACAGCTGCTCCATACACTTCTCCCCAGGAAAGCATAGGTCCAATGCAACAAGTAGCTCTCATCTAGCGATGACTCCTCAGTTTGACTGCCAGCTGTGGTCCCAAGAGAGGGTCCCCCGTTTTCTCCACTCCAGCACAGCACTTACATGTTGCATTTTGCTGTAGAAGAATCCAGGAAGCTCCTTATACTTAGAAAGTCAGAGGAGCTTTAAAAAGAAACTGGAAACCAACAAAAGGATGTAGCCTGTTACCTATCGGTTCTTTGTGGACGACAAAGCAGTATTTTGTAGTCAAAATATTCTTAGAATAACTGTTCTTAGTTGCAGTAACTTCCCAGACTATTTCATCTTTGGTTTCTCAAGTACATTCCCAGTGTTGTAGCATCTATATTATAAGAAGTAACGAGGAATACAAGTTAATAAAATTCATTCACGGAAATCACGCCCTAATAACGTTTTCTTTGTCCAGCAGCACAAGACCTAAATATGGAAACAAACTTGCTTTTAAATATTGAAAGTGGTGTTGAAAACAAGAAGAATTGCTTCAAAAGCCCACCTTTTGCCTGCTTATCAAAGAATGAATATTTTCATCTGTAGCTGTGCATGGAGCTCTAGAAGTGAACCCCCTCTGAAGCCAGTTGGCATCCCGGGAAAATGCAAGAACATATGGCAAGTGTCCCAGTGATGCTAATACCCACTAGATGCTAAAATAAACGTGCGGGACCAGGGCCTTCACTCTGAGAACGGAGCTAGGGGGGCAAGGGAAATGTAAAATACAGTAAGCAACAAAAAAATCTGACTTAGAATAAACCTCTTTTCTTTACCAACAAGTTAAAAAGTTGCATCTTGGAACATCAGAGCACTGATCTGGCAAGGGTAACAGACAGCACTCCTGAGCCCGGTTCATTTTACTGAATGCAGAGTCACCCACTTACGGAAAGACAGCATTTTGGTCTTCAAGAGAGGGGAAAAAGTATGTGAAACACGTTATTTCCTCAAATATTCCAAATCAAAGCTTTACAACTAGCAAGCAAGCAAGAACCTTCAGAACCGGGCAGACACACACACACACACAAAACCAACTCACCAAAAAAGTATCCGCAAAATGTTCGCGACCAGTAACACCAGGCAGACGTAGGTGGAAAAGCCCTCCGCATTCTGTGTCCGCCGGATGTCTCTGTACTGGGGAATGTAGGGCACCACGCCGCCGAACACCATGGCCCCCGCAGCACCCCACGACACCAGCTGGCGCATCGGGACCAGCAGCCACTCCAAGCCACCCGCCTCCATGACGGGGGGGAGCGGGGTG